AATTCCCCTCAGATAATTCATTTGGATTGCCTCACACAATTGTGTACATATTCACAATAAGGAGATACCTATGCCCTTTCCGGAGCCGGCACAGGTGCCTAGGGCAAATTTCTATTCCTATTATGTTCACAACACGGAAAATATCCCTCTTACTGAGGCACAGGTATGGTCTGTCGCCTATTATTTAACGCGAGCCGTGAATGCCTTCTTCTTGTGGCACCCGGGGTACGTCAAAATGCTTTTGGACGAGTGTGGGGATCAGCAACTCATTCCACCCCAAGTGGGTTTTGGAGATGAAGTGGCCGTGGAAAACACGGGGAGCAGTTCTCAGCGTTATCCGCCGTTAAATTCACCGACCAAATCTGAAAACTTTGACACCGTCCCAACTGTACCAATCATTTCGACAAGCGGAGAAGGACAAGAATTTTTCTCCCCCACTTTTTTATCCGTGGTGCCGGACGAGTGTTTCGTACTATACCGTGATGGTGTGCAGACTACAGTTTTCACACTTGTGCTTGGTGGCACGGTGCAGGCATTTGTGGGCTCCAGTAAGTTTCCGCTTAGGCGACGCTCCTTTCAATGGTTTGCCGAAGAGGCATTAACTTTGGAGAACTACGTTCCCGATTTTGACGCTTTTGTTTTGTCTCCAACGCGAGTTTACCTTATCCCAAAAGACGTGTATGCACGTTACCTTCGCTACAATGAAATCTACACACACACGTACGATAAAATTGTCATGATGGGCAAAAAAACGACGGGTATGACTCAACATGCGTCATCGCATGCATTATCAACTCAGCGGGAGGAAGTCTTTCAAAAGCGCCAGGCCAAGGGCGATGACAGGGAAGGATTATTGAAAACTCAAAAGGAAAGTGGTTTGTATGGTACCTTTGATGAAAGTGGGAAGTGAGTCGTGTTTATTTTGTTTATTATTTAAAATTCGAATAAAACAGAAAACAACAAATAGCCTCTCTGAATTTTTGTTGTTGTTGCTGTTGTCGTTTTGTTTATTTGTTTCTGTGTTTGATTGTGGATGATAGTTTTCTTTTATTGTTGTTGTTCTTGCCTTTTTTTTTTTTTTGCTGTTTGTTTTTTGCTTCTACCTTTGCATGTTTTTCTTTATATGTCTGTTCTATTAGGCCCCTCAATGATCAGAGGACAGTTGGGCGTGTGCATTCCATTTTTTTGGCGATGCGTCTTAGCTGCTGGTGAGGCGGCGGTAGGAAGCCAAGGTACCGTGCGAAGCGAAAAGAACCCAAACGGTTATGCATCATGGCCCTTAGTGTTGCTTCTTATCATATTTTTTATTAATGTCGCGCTTGCTGCCATGTTTGCCGGCCTTACGATTGGTCTCTTTGGGATGAACTTTATTACCCTTGAAATCATTTCTTCTGCAGGCAAGGAGCCAGATAGTGCGTACGCGAGAAAAATTATTCCAATACGACGCTATGGGCATCAACTATTGGCAACCTTGCTTATTGGAAATATGCTAACTATGGTTATTATTTCACAGATGGTGACTGCTATTATTCAATCGACCGAATTTGTTAACTTTATTGTGGCCACGGCTGTTGTATTTGTGTTTTCAGAGATTATACCAATGGCTGTGTGTAACAAGGGACCGTATGCTTTATGGATTGGGGCAAAAAGTGCTACTATTGTATCCATTGCTCTTTTTCTTCTTTATCCCGTAGCAAAACCATTGGGCATGTTTCTGGAATGCATAGTGACGCATGATGAGGGACTTGTGTACGATCGGAATGAATTGAAAAAACTTATCCGTATTCACTATGAGAAGTATGGAAATGAATCGGGGCTCGGGGATGATGAGACGCGCATGATTATCGGTGCCCTTGAAATGCATGAGGCAAATCTTACTTCCATTTTAAAACCACTCGATAGAGCCGTGAAGCTCCCAGGCAGTATAGCGATCACCCGCAAATTGGTGGAACAGCTGTGGGCCTGCGGTAGATCACGATTGCCGGTGTACTCTAATGACACTTACACATACATTACTGGAATTCTTTTTGTTCGTTCGCTCATTAACATTACATCCGAACAGATGGAAAACGGTATCACTGTACAGGATGTAGTGAATACAAATCCACATGATATTTTTATTGTGCCTGAGACGATGTCATTGAATGAATTGTTAAAGATATTCCTGTCGAGTACATCACAACTTGTTTTTGTGGAAAGGGATTGTAAGTTTGAGACTTTGAATGGCTCGCTTGCTGCGAACTCAAAAATGACAACAAACCCCGTGAGCCACAGAGAAGGAATAGAAAAGGAGCGGCAGAAGTTGATGGGAACGACACGGGAATTAAAAAATACACGGGTTACAGTTCTCACACCCCAATTAGCTCTGGAGAGAGGCACAGCCTTCTCCATTGTTGGCATTGTAACGCTGGAAGATGTCATTGAGCGTTTTATTAAGTCGGACATCTATGACGAGTATGATCGGACTGAGGAGGTAGAAGAGGATGAAGTAGGAGAGGAATGGGGAGGCGAATTGCAAGGAAAGGAGAGGAGTAACGCACAAGAAACAAGGTTGAGTGTCAGGGATCGATGCGGTGAGATATGGGAAAGTGGTTTGGGCTACTCCCGGAGCGAGGGTGCTCCGCGTGCAAATTTTTACTCGTACACTGTAAATGACAGGGAGGCTAATGATGCGATGACAGAAGAGCAGAAATGGACTCTGGCCAATTTTATCATCAATTCTTATCCCGCCTTTGCGATGTGGACCCGTCGGCAGGTAAAGTGTTTTATTGACCGTATTGGTGACTGCGTCGTTCGGTTAGAAGAGGGTGAGCATGAGGGTACTCTGTTGTACCAGGCCGGGGAGAGAAGTGATGCGTTTACTCTGTTACTTAGCGGTGGCGTACGTGTTTCTGTCTGTGGTGGGAACTTTTCAACAGAAAAACGAAGTTTTTCGGCTTTTGGAGAAGAAATTTTTCTCCATGAAGGTGGTTTTGTACCGGAGTACACAGCCGTTATCTCACGCACAAGCCGATACCTTCGGTTTACCATAAAACAATTCCTCGAGGAGGAGCAGCGTGTACGGAGTGGAAATGGACCGCGATCGGTGACGGGACTCATCATTGATGACTCGGGCGCGGAGGAAAAGCGATGCATAGATTGTGAGGAACTTTCTTTATTATGACATTCCGCCTTTAACATTGGACGCAGGCATTCCTTTTGATGCCGAAGGCCCAAAAAACTGCGTGAATAATTTGGGGTCTCTTGCGTGAGTGAATGCATCTGGATTTATAGCATTACATTATATGTGTATTTGTTTATATTGAATTTGTGCCCATGTGGTGTAGTTTTATTTTTATTCGGTGGTCTTGTTTTCTTTTTTTTTTTTTTTTTTTTTTTTTTTTTGGTGCTTTTCCTGGGAAGAAGGAGATGGACACGGAGGACGGCGAGTTCATGGTGTGCGGTAGCGGTGGCACCGTTGAGGACGCGCAGCTTGACGATCTTGTTGGTGTCATCGAGGACTTCATGGCACACTTTGACCCTGATGCCGTTTTTAGACAGTTGCCGCCCTTTTCATCCGTAGCGAGCGATCATGAAAGGCATCGGCTGTACAGGGAGGCGGTGCTGCAAACCGAAGCAGACTTGGACGCTTACGTGCTGGAGCATTGCGGATCTATTGAGTCGCTGAAGGACGCGACAAGTCTCATTTTGGACCGCAGCGACGAGATTGCGGAGGAGGTGCGGGACTTTATCAATGAGGGCTGCTTCAACTACACAACTTTTGTAGAACTTTGGAAGCAAAACAAAAAATGAAGGAGGGCGGGGCAAAATAACTCAGAAGCACAATTAGTTTTTTTCCAAGGACAAAAAAAAAAGAGGAATGCACAGTGCAGAAATTGGAGGATGGCGGCTTGGCCGTCAACTCCCAGAAGAAATGGGGAAACAGGCCGATCCTTTTTGTTTGTTTTTTTGTTTTCTTGTGTGTATCTGTCTTTATGCCTTCTATTTATTTTAGTGTGCGTTGGAGCAGCCGACAACTGGGGCCGTGATTGAACTGACACCCGGGGAGGGTTTTTTTTTTTTTTTGACTTAACTTATGATGATTTCTTTACTTGTTTTCGTTTGCCTTTTTCCTTTTTTTTATTTTTTTATTTTTTTTTGCGGGATGCTTGGACGTCTATGCGTTGTTTCAGAACGCCGGATTAATTTTTCTGGAGAAAAATATGTTATTTAAGGACTTCACGTTTCCGTGGGAACCGTACAGGGCCGCTCGTGACGAGGATGAGTTGCAGGCTGTCTTGAGCTCCACAACCAAAAAGTTTTCGGAGGAAGAGCGGCTTTCTCCCGAATGTCGCTTTGCGGCACGTCGGCTGATGTATGCATGTGTGGGTGATCAAAAACTTCTCAATCTTCTCGACGGTATTCTTGCACCCCCACCGTACCGCCTGGAGGATCTGCAGGACCGCCAGATAACGCGAAAAGAAATAGAGGCAGCGATGGATGTCATCCCTCTCGAACTTGATCCAGTCATTGTGCTCTTTCCTTTCAACCTGGCGATGAGTACAGGCGCGTACGATGCACACCTGCGGGCTGCTGTTCGTCGTCTCTGTTGGCTTTTTGCGATTCCTTTCAATATTATTGAAGCACGGGAACGGGCACTGATGGATGCTCTCCTGTTATCTCATGATGGTGGTGATGAATCACTTAAAAAAAAACAAAATGTGGTGCGGTCCCACAAAAAAAGCAAAAAGAGAAGCATCAGTCGAGCAGCTACCGTGGGAGCCTTTGCGGCAGTTGGTGGTGCGGCGCTTGCTATTACAGGAGGTTTGGCCGCCCCGCTGATTGGCCCCGCGATGGGCAGCCTTGCCAGTGCTACCGCCGCAACATTGTTTACTCTGGAGTCAGTTGGCGAGGCTATGCTGGGCGGTACGGCAGTTGCGGCTTTTGTTTCCGGAATGGTTGGCGTAGCAACAGAAGCCGCTGCGCTTATTACTCTTATAACACCAGTCTTGACCGTGACGAATCTTACGGCTATCTTTGGTATTGGTGGGGCGAGTCTTGCTGGATACAAGGCATACCGCCGCACGGCGGAGTCGGATGTTTTTATGATTCGGTCCATAACAGAAATCGAAAAGCTTCCTGCGCTTGCGCAAGGCGATGATGTCTTGTTGTCGGTTCTTACGAAGGGCCAGATTGCACAGTGTAGAGATGCTGCCCAAAGGCTTGCCGTGAAGGAAGGAGAACAGGAAGTGGATATGAATTTGCAGGAAATTCTGGAGGAGGCAGGCAAAGGAGGCATCGTGGTCCCAGCTCACACAAGAGCTGTCACCATGTGCAACGTGGCGGCAAAGGATCATTTTAAACAACGAATGCGCTGTCTTACATTTGCATTACAGTGCTCTTTGAATGGATACCGACTGGAATTAAAAGCCCTGAAGCTGACGGTTGGTAAGTGGGGAATTGTGCCACCAAAACTTATCCCGGAAGAAAATTGTGGTATATTTCTCTGTCTGAACCGTTTTGCTCGACCTACGGGTGCCGGGTGTGTTGTGTGCTATAATGTCCGTCCCATAACAAGTCTTTCTTCTCCCACACTGCGGCTATGGGTTTTGGCTGAACTCTCTTTGATGGGAAATGTGTCGATTGCGGTTTCTGTTACTAAATGCGATGAGGCATTTCAGCCGAAGAAAATGCTTAAAAAGCTTCGTAAGATGAAAATTGAATCTGACGAAACGTTTATTTCCCATAACGTGGTTGTAGGGTGTTTTTTCTCGCCGTTGCCGTTTGTGATGTTATCCAATTTGACAGATGGAGGCAACACATTGTCCCAACATCATTCCAACGCGGTAATCCCAGTGAAAGAGCTAACACAGCGCATAGTGGAGACTATGAAATTGGTGCGTGAACGCCGTCGAATTGGGGTCTCTATTGTGAATAACTCGAAGCATCTCATTCATGTGTTGACATGTGAAGTGATGAACGGTGTCCAAAGTCATCGAACCTCTAATTTGCCGACGATAATCTCCTCTCGAGAGGCATTATTTGCTGTTTTTACAAACTCAGAACTGAGTTTGAAGGGGGCAGAGGCATTTATTATCATTGAAGTCGTTAACAGCGGTGCCAATGCCGATGCACGTATTATCTGTGAAAGTTGTTATATGAAATTGCAATTTGAGGTTAATGCGTTGAATTCTATCAGTGCCTTTTGTGTGGCTGCGCCATCGTTGGGGGAACTTGCGGAGCATCACGTGCATCTTAGAAGTCCTTCTGAGAAGAAATTTAAACCCATTCTCATGCCAGAATCGTTTGTTTGGGCAGATATGACAGCCGATACAAAGAAATTTTTGTTGAATTTATGCATAGAAGACTTTGTTGAACGTGTCGAGCAAATGGAAGTACAAAAGTGCCCTTCTCTTACAATTGCCGTTGGAGGATTTGTTTCAATCTTTGACGAACGAAGGCCTCAGCAGGATCAACAATTGGCCCTCTGGGCAAATCATCTTTCCGGATCTTGTCTGTTTGGTATGACCGAGGGATATGTGGTACATTGGGAAGACAAGAACCAAACCAAATTCGGTCGCACCATCGATGCGGGATTGGCAAAGACTCTTACCAAAGAGCTTGGCGGGAAGGCATTCGAAAAGGCGACGAGCGTTGCAAGGAGCCAACTTTTACGAGGGGGTGTTTTTGTTGGGATTCAGGCGCTCGATGCGGTTAAAGGGAGCCTTTCACTTCCCATGTATGCAATATGGTTCACCGGTGCGATTGACAATTCTTTTGCCAAACTTTTGAACCGCGCCGAATACACAGGAAAGGATTTGGCACATGCTCTTTTGGATCCACAAAAAGGTCGTCGTCCTGTGTCTCTTATTGGTTTCAGCTTTGGGTCACGTGTTATTGTGGAATGCCTAAATGAACTGCATCGTGTGGAGGCTTTTGGTGTCATTGAAAATGTTTATTTAATGGGGTCAATTGTCAGTTCATCCCGCACTGTATGGGGCAAACTGCGAAGTGTAGTGGCTGGTCGTCTTGTTAATATTTACTCTCGCGGTGACTGGTTTCTTTGGCTCATGTACAAAGCAAACAAGGCGACACTGAGGCCAATGGCTGGAATTGGCCACATTAATGTTCCTGGAGTGGAGAACCTTGACGTGAGTTATCTTGTTGATAACCATTTTGACTACGCGGAAAAACTGAAGGAAATTATCGACGCTATTCCCGGGCGTCCAAGGCGGCAAATGTATGAAAAATCGTCAGGGAGTCCAGGTGCCGTCGTTGGCTCTGATGATATTTCGTTGGTCTCTAAGGGGATGATGTCTTCTATGGAATCGTTTTTGGGAGATTCACAATGTGCGACGTTGGCGATCACAAACCGCCTTGCATCTGATATAAAAGGCTTCAACACGGAGTTACACTCTCTGGTCCATGTGGTTAACGGCGGGTATTTTGATTTTGAGCCGCCCGATGTAATTCCTTTTTCGCGCTCCGCCGTCTGTGGTTTGGTTGTTGACGGGGAAAGCACCGGCGGTGGATCCGTAACGGGGATGGTGTCATATGTTGTGTCACTGGACTCGGCATCCGCAGATCTTCTACTAAGTGTATTCTTCCTTTTGCAGTCGTCTAGGAAAGGAGGACTTGTTGTCGCTGCTGATGTGCGTATATTGAGGCGGACGCAAGAAACTTTGGAGACCGAATCTGAGCGTCAGCGACGACTGGAAGAATTTTGCCGCAATGAATCAGAAGACCCTAAACGAATTCAAATAAAGTGTGAGAGCTCCGAGCGGGCGCGCCATGAAGGCCCGTTCACGCCTTCTTTTACTGTGGACCTGGATGATGTCTTTGACGATGGTAGTAGAGAAGCCGTGTTCCATGTCACTACCAAATATGAGGACCATGACGACAAGCGCAGTGGGTGCAGAATCGACATTTTGGCTCTTTTGACCCAGTCGTCCAACTTGACGCAGCGCAAGAAGTTTACGGCAGAACTCTTTGATAGTATTTACCAAACGGCAGTGGAGCCGAAATCCGCCATTCCGGTGCCATTGAAGGAAATGCGACTTGCAATGAAGGATTTCAACGACAGTTTTGCCCACAAATTAAAGGGTAGCCGAGGGGGAGCGGCCATTCCTCAGCCTATTGTACTGGCCAACTGCGGTGATTTGCCTTTAATTTATGCGGGTCTTGGCGGTGCAGGGGCTCTTCCAATGGAAAATATGGGTATTGAATGGATCCGCTATCCACCACGTGAGATTCCTCCAAATAACTGCGTCCTGACGGTGGTACGGCGATGCTTATCATCATCTTCATCTTCTTTGAATTCGGTGAATGGCGCCGTACTGGATGTCTTTTCACTTATTTCTGACACGGGTCGATGTGATGTGCAGCTTCTTGGCTCTTCTGCTGGCGGTGGTATTGGGGTCGCATGCCAGTGTGAGGTCGACCCATCAGCGGACGGAACTGGCAGCGCCTCCGTGATGACCACTGAGTTGGAAGACGTATCATTCACACTCGTCTCTATCTCGTGGTCTTCGGAGAAAGACGCTGGGGAGAGTAAACAGTCACAATCGTCGGACGCAGATGCTCTCATGGGCTGGATTGTAATAGACTGATTTTTTTAAAATTATTTTGTCTTATATTTTAGAATTCTTTTTTTTTTGCTGATATATCTTTTTTTCTTTTAAATTTTTATTGTTTTTTTTTTTACTGTTTTTTGCTTGCGTTTTTTTTGTTTGTTTGTTGTTGTTTTTTTGCTTTGAGTTTTCTTGCTTCTGCGGTAAATACATACATGGGTATGCGTATATATCTATGAAACTGATTCTTCCTGCTGCAAGTTGGCTGGGATGTTTTTGCTTGCTAATTCTATGCCCTTTTTTCTAGGAGCTTGTGAAGAGAATGATCGTGGGAGAGCTGGCCAACCTACCTAATGTATGTGCGCCCTGATAAATGAATGCATTCTTTATGATACTTCCAACCGTATGAATCTTTTGGGAAGAACGCGACTTTGTAGGGGCAGGGAGCTGATAGGAGCCAGATAATGTTTGTTTTTATTTTGCCACCCCACCCTAACCCCCTTGATTCCCACCACGCGGCGGGGTCTTGTGGTTGGAGGACCCCAAGGTCTGCCACTTCGTAAGTAATAAATACTTCAAATCCTAACTGAGGACAAAGGACCATGCTGGTGGTCCACAGAATTCTATATATTGAATGAGAATAAAACATTGAAGCAATTAACTAACGAACCCCTTTTTCTTAACTTGTTTGGGTCCATGGGTTTTCAGGATCCGGCCAGCTGCCTGGAAAATCATTCTTAATTTTCATTGTTTTTTGCTTGCGTTTTTTTTTTGTTTGTTTGTTTGTTGTTGTTTTTTTGCTTTGAGTTTTCTTGCTTCTGCGGTAAATACATACATGGGTATGCGTATATATCTATGAAACTGATTCTTCCTGCTGCACTAATCCCTTCTAGGGCATTTTTTTCCATCTCCCACCTTTTTTTGTCTTTTTTTTGACGAGGGATGTTGCCGGTCAAATTCTCTCTCTTTTTTTTTTTTATCGTTTCCTTCCTTTACTATTCTGCAGTTTAATGGATGGCAGATGCATACCGAATACTGAAAAGCAGTGGCTCCGATACGCTCGCGGGGTTGTGCTCTGAACAAAAGGTGGATTTGAACGATGTGTGGATCCCTCTCCAGTCGTTTTGTTCTGCACGCGGAAGGATGGACACGCCGGTTTTTATTTCCCCTGCAACAGCCATTGTGCTCCTGGACCACTCCAGTGGGAAGCTCGTAACACGGCGAGGTGACATCTTGGCTCGCATCCCGCTTCTTTTTTTGGATGAGCGCAATTTGTCCATTCCACCCAGCGCCATACCGGACGGCTGCACCCTCTTTGTCCGGGCAGCCAAAAGCATTTCAAAGAAGCGCATGGTAAAGGGGCTTTCTATTCTTCACCGCCCTATCACGAGGGAGCAGGCCTTTGTTGAGGGCTCTTCATTGGCGCTAGATGGAGAAACACAGGTTGTGCAAAAGCAACCGCGGAAGAGCACAGGGAGTGGGGCCGATGCAGTCACCGTGGCAGGAGGCATAGAAGCTGCTTTAGAAGGGCGGAAAAAAACGGCAAAAATCGATGGACTGTTTGAAGAATACCTTCAAAAGACTCTCGAGGGATCCCGCGACGGTCGTTTGGCCAATGGGGGGGTTATTATGAAGGAGACAATGGCCAATCTCCTTCGGGTGCGTGATGCGGCGCCGCTTCACTTTGTAATGCATGGAAAGTCGAAAAAATATATTCATGTCAACGGAATTCCGTGGTTCATTCCGGACTGGCGAGTCATTTACCGCGTTTTTAGACGGGGAGAAACGGTTGAGACCGCCAAAACCACCTACACCGATGCCGCACGTCTCGTTGCTGTCTTTATGATTGACAATGTGCTTATCCGACGGGAGCCCATCCATGCATGCCTGCAAGAAGGACATCCGATGTGGTCACTGATAGATCCAAATTTGCCTTCTGCAGCCCACAAACTTGCAGAAAAGGGCTACCGTATTGTTCTGTTGGATCACTACCCTTCACTTCATCATGGAAATGAAATTGCGCTTGAGGCGAAACTAAACCCTATTGCGGAACTCTGTCAAAAGTATTTTACGTGCGACGTGACGGTTGTGCTATCAACAATGTCGTACATCAGCGCTGCCTACAGAAGTGACGGGAAGCCTTTTCTTCTTCCATATTCAGGACTTTGGCAGTTTTTTATCACTCAGTTGAATGGAGGGCTTCGCGCCGATGCCGACTCGCTGCTCGTGGGTGAGTCTGTAGAGGGCGTGGATCATAGACGTGAGGATGTGCTGTCTCAGGGACGAAGGGATGCGAAATTTGCGATGAACTGCAGTCTCCGTTACGTGGATAGTGACAGTCTGAAGAAGGAAATACTGCAGTCTTGAAAGCCTCCTCCTTGTATAAGTCTTGTTGACATGAGTGCACCAATTTGTTTTTGTCTCTCCTTTTTGTTGTTGTTATTGTTGTTCTATTTATTTGCTGCGTCTTTTTTACCCTTTTATCTTTCTTCTTTAATTCTTTTGAACTCTTTGCCTTTGGACTTGCCGACACTTTGCGAAGTTAGGGCTTTTTTATATTTTTATTTTTCATTGAAGACACATCTAGCAGATACAAATAAGTTACTAAATTTTTGTTTATAGATTTTTTTAAGCACAGGATTACGCTGGAAGAAGAAGAAGGAAAAAAAAATACTTTGGCGGCGGCACTGTTCATGCTCCTCAGCTTTCAGTATTTGCTGCGAAAGCTGATTCTGCCGCTGCTTCTGCTTCCGACTCTCCTCTCAGGGACAGCAGTACGCGTGCGTGCTGTGGAGGTTGTGAAGTTGGGGTCAGACGTCTTTCTTGATGTTTCGGATTATGGAAGTGGGGTTTTGCGTCTTTCACTGAAGCCATTGACGAAGTCGTTTTACGAGGTTAAAGATGTGGTGGTGCGGGAACCAGAGGCAGGAAATATCGGTTCAACTTGCGAGGGAGTTAGCTGCACCATTAACAGCGGGCAATGTGTCATGAAAACAAGTGTCACCGAGGAGGTTTTCCATGCAAGTTATGAGTGCCATGGGTCGGTGTTGAGTTCCATGGAAATGCCTTTGAGTTTGTTTGAAGAACCTTCTGTGGCGTTCAAATTCCCCTCCGCTCGGCGTCTCTACGGCATTCCCGAACACGCAACGGATTTGTCATTACACGGGAATGCAACATATGCCATGTACAACAACGATGCCTTTCAATACGCCATTAACGACCCACAGGCGCTGTATGGAACTATTCCTTTTCTTCTGGCTCATTCATCGAAAATTTCTACGGGTGTACTTTTTCTTAACAGCGCAGGGATGCGGGTGGAGGTGCAGGAAGGGGAATTGATTGGATGCCAGTGGACTGTGGAGTGCGGGCTGGTGGATGTGTTCTTCTTTCCCGGACCAACCCCCTCGATGGTGCAGAAACAACACGCTTCCATCACAGGGAACACCATGCTGCCACCCTACTTTAGTCTTGGGTATCATCAATGCCGGTGGAACTATCGAAGCACAAATGATTGTCTGAATGTTGACCAAGGGTTTGATCGACATAATCTCCCTTATGATTGTCTATGGCTTGACATTGAGCACACCGATGGTAAGAAGTATTTCACATGGGACAAGCATAACTTCCCCGAGCCAAAGTTGCTTGTTAACGCACTGGCGTCAAAAGGGCGGAAGCTTGTGACTATCAAGGATCCCCACGTGAAGCGAGAAAGTGGCTACTTTGTGCATGAGGAGGCATTGAAAGGCAATCACTATGTGAAGAATGCCGAAGGAACGGATGCTTATGAGGGAAAGTGTTGGCCCGGAGCGAGTTCGTGGATTGATTTTTACAACAAACGAACAAGAGATTGGTATGCAACATTTTTTCACCACGACCGCTACGAGGGTGGAACGCACGATGTGCACTCATGGGTAGATATGAATGAGCCATCCGTATTTGAATTAAAGGACAAGACAATTCACCGCGATGCCAAACACACCAGTGATACCGGCGACTTGTTGGACAACAAATACCTGCATAACATGTATTCCCTGTATAGTCTGATGAGTGTGTATCAAGGGCATATTGAGTCAAGCAAGGGCCTGGATCATGTTAAACGACCTTTTATTCTTACACGAAGTTTCTTCTCTGGAGCCCAACGTTACGCAGCGATGTGGACTGGCGATAATATGGCAAAATGGGACCATCTTCAAAACTCCATTCCAGAGATGTTATCCCTTTCTGTGTCAAACTATGTTTTTTGCGGTGCTGACATTGGGGGTTTTTTCTTTGAGCCCGATGAGGAACTTTTCGTTCGATGGTTTCAGGCCGGCGTATTTTATCCATTCATGCGGGCACATGCTCATTTGGAAACTAAACGTCGTGAACCATGGATGTTTGGTGACATTGCAACCGACCGAATTCGTACTGCGTTGGCGCTTCGTTATTCCCTTTTGCCGTACCTGTACACACAGTTTTTTGTTAGTCACAAGACCGGTTCTACTATTTTGCGTCCTCTTTTTTACGAGTTTCCTCATGATGAAAAGTTATATGATGAACAGTACACCTTTATGTTTGGTCCCTCGCTGCTGGCTTCCCCAGTGCTGCATCAAGGAGCGACGGAAAAGAATGTGACAGTTCCTTCCGGTAGTATCTGGTACTCGTACGCCACAGGTGAGGTGGTGCATCCTGGTGTTTTTCACATGAATGTGGATATGGACTCGATACCATTGTTTATTCGCGGTGGTCATATCGTTCCTGCAAAGTTGCGTATGCGGCGCAACACGTTCAGTGCCCGGCATGATCCTTTTACCCTCTATGTTGCTTTGAATGAACATGGCAATAGCGACGGGGAACTTTTTGTGGATGACGGTGAGTCTTTTAATTATGAATTGGGAGCGTACGCTCGTCGGCAGTTTTCCTTTACAGAAAACCGACTGAGCTGCACGGCTCACCCTGAAACGATGTCACATACTTCTTCTCTTCCTGGTGTACGCAACACTGTGGAACGTATCGTTATTTTCGGTTACAGTGGACGGCTTAAGCGTGTGATTCTTCAAGAGGCGGGGGCAGAGATTGGTGTCGGTCGAGAGGTGGACTATGAAATCCAGGGCGCGACATTGGTGCTGCGCAAGCCGGATGTGCTGATCCGTGACGATTGGACGATTATTTTGGAAAGATGAAAATAAGTACATAAATGTGTCTTGACACCCCGAAGAGGATAAGAATGGTTTTTTTGTTTTTTTTTTTTTTTTCTTTTCTTTTCCTCTTGCAGAGAAGGGGAATTTTTCTCCCTTTTCTCCTTTCTCTGTTCGTGTATGTGAGTAGCTGGGGTGAGAGGGGG